TTATTATCATCATCATCATCATCATCATTATGATTATTATTACTGTTGTCGCGACACGCTACCACCTGAAGCTGGCTCTGACGAGCTCGGGAGGTGTGGCCACGCGAGCAGCCATGCACAAAGGATCATGGAAGACGCACTGTGTTGTTTAATGTTGTCTGTGGCTGAGCTCCCCTGCGAGTTTGTGAGTATGTATTTGCCTTTTCTGCTGGTGTTTAATAAAAGAGCACTTATCGTGGGAAAATCATGGCCTCACTAAATCATGGTCTGACTTGATGCCAATGCGACATTATTGCTATTATTAAATATATATTTATTTTCTGCTGTGGGAACCGAACCACAAATATAAAGTCCCGCTTAGTGTGTACTTTAGTCCATGTTTATAGATGACAGTGAATCATACACTGTAAAAAGTGTCTCTTCAGATCTAATTAAAAAATTGACTTAATGTGGTAACAAGTAAATCAACTTGCTTTATTCAACCTAAATAAATACTTTATACAACCTAAATAATTCTTTCAATCAATGTAGTTTTGAATCAAACCAGTTCAATTTCTTGTTACCACATGAAGTAATTTTTTAAGTAGATCTGACAAGACACTTTCTACAGTGTATTTTGGGTTTGGCCCTTTTTTTAAATATTTTTGCACAGAAGTGTATTTTGGGTGTAAGAGAAAGGTAAACTGTGTAAATCTGAGTGTCGCTTTAATTTACTGCTACACTCTGATGGAAATGAATAACAAACAGAAGATCCGTCTACAACAGCTCTACTGAGACGGACTCAGTTTAACTGAATAAGTTGCTCTGAGTTGCGCTACAGGTGCAGATTCCTGCTTTTCGGTGAGGTCTAGTTTAGTTTGTGTGGAACGGCTCTCAGTTTTATTAGTATATTTTATTCAGCTCCTCTCGGCACTTACCCACAATCCCCACTATCAGCAGCTTTCCCAGAAACAACAGGAAGTCTGTCACTTTGTCCAGCACGAACACTCTAAAACACAAAACATGAAATTATTATGAAAAAACATCTTTATGAACTTTAGTTACTGATACGTATAAACAAAACCCTAAAAGCATTAAAAGTAGAGAAAAAGTCGATAGATTATGTGTCAAAATCTTAGTAAAAGTGTCGGAACTCAACTGGTCAGAGAATGTGGCCACTTGAAAAAAACCTCCTTAAGTATTCATCTTAAGTTAAATGTTGAGACAAATTTAAACTTGTAAAAATAAATATTTTTTTTTGGTAAAAACTAATGTGATGAATTTTATATTTAGGCTACAAAACATTTATGGATCCACAAAACATTTACCTAAATAGATTTTACACAGTTCACTTAAGTGAAAAAGGCCAAAATGTACTAATGATGTTTTATGCAAATGCCTTTGATGTTTATAACAAGTGAATAAATGTCTTAATGAAAATGTAAAGAGTATTTTTAAAATTATTTTGTTTACTGAGTAAAAGTACAAGCATTCACTTTCAATAGTACTGGAACCTTTAATGCTTAAGTACAGTAATAAAGTACAATCACTGGAGTATATTCCACTCCTGCTGATTATATAGATAGTCTGTAATCGACTATCTCTGTCTAATCCCAGCTGAATAACAGCACCGAGTGATGTGTCGCTTCTCTCACCGGCCAATGTTCCTCATCAGGAGGAAGAAAGCATTCTTAGCAGACGTACAGAAGTTTTTACCATAAATGGCGACCTGGGAGAGAAAATGAGTGAAAAATCATTATTAACCTTGAATTCTGAGATGCAGAGTCATCAATACTGAAATCAAAAAATCCTACTTTACTAAGATTAGTGCACCACCACTGTAGTGATACATTCACTCCAATACAAGTATAAATAAAAGACTCAAAGAATAAACAGATTTAAGAGAAAAAGAGGATAAGAGTAAAAACTACTCTAAGAATCACTCTGAGCTTCTTTAAGGAACATTTTCTTCACAAAAAGAAGCTCCAACACACTAAGATTTCAGTGAGAATAAGCTAACCCATTAGAACATTTGCTGATATTAGCTAATTTAGCTAGCAAACAAGCACAAAAACATTTAAACAACAGATTTAGGTTTAATAAAGAGCTTCTGTGCTTGTTAATCTAGAAAAAGAAACGAGTAAAAGAACACAGTCGATATCTAGCTAAAGTTAGCTTAGTTAGCAAGCTACGGGTTTCCTCAGTTTTGAAGCTGAGTTGTGAAGCACACTTACTTTTACTCTGTAACAATAAAAATAAAAGCATCATTTAATTACATCCAAATAAACTGTAACGCTACAGCTTTCTAAGTAGTGTGTAAAGAGTACTGATAAAGCATAGTAACATTAGGCTGTTGCTTGTGATAAATTTGCTTAAAGTAAAAGTATTAATAAAAAAAGAATGACTAAGCTTTAGAGAAGTGTTGGAGTAAAAAAATACTTACTTTGAGTTTCTTCAACATGTTTTCCTCACAGAAAGAAGCTCCAATATGTTAAGATATGCTGAGTTTAATGTAAGCTAACACATTAGCTTAGCTTGAATGTAATCTGACATTAGCTAAATTAGCCAGCTAACAGACACTCAAAATAAAACAGTAGAAGCAGTTTAGGATTAATAGAGCTGTGTTTCTTATTCTAAAAGGTCAAAATGAGAAGAATAAAGTAACACAGCAGCTAGCTGGCTAAGATTAGCTTAGTTGGTGAGCTAAGTGTTTCCAATTAGCAAGACCCAGATAACAAGAGGATGGTGGGCTACTGTTGGCCTGCTGGTGGCAAAGGTTGTGGTCCACTGCCGTTTTGCTTGGCGTGTTCTGGGTGTCCTGCAGGTGGAATGTTAGACAAAATGCCACTTTCCCTGCTTATTTTGCACTCAGACACAATGTACTTATTTTTCTTCCATTTCTTTCATTTCGTATCCTTTGTGACATAGTTCAGTAACTTTTAACATAAATATTTAGTAACATTTTACATAAATATTATAAATAAATATTCAGCTGTAGCCAATCTAGCACAGTGTCAGCCACAACATTTTCAGCTAAATTATTTTGTGTGAGGCCTAGTCATTCATTTTTTTCTCGCTGTTTTTTGAAAATATTTGTCTTAATTTATTTTCTCAAATGAAAAATCTGTTTGAGGAGATTAAAAACTAGTTAGGCCTTGTATGCAGGACAACAATCTGGGTGGTCCGAGGATGGACCAGCAGTGGCAAACAGACAGCCGGGGTCCTTATCAAGCCAGTGGACCAATGTACGCTCGCTATCTGAGGGTTGGTGGATCTGTGTAACCTGCATATCTCCAGAAAATTCCAATAAATTCCAATAAAACTAGAAAAATGGCTATCAAAGCTGCCAAAGCTCTGAAATAATAAACCAATACACAGACATAAAGCTGAAGCTTCTTATTCACCAGGTTCTCATTTACATTCTCCATTCCACCTTAAATGGAGCTGCAGTTACACTGAGGTGACTTAAACGTAGAACAAATGGCTGGCGAATACGTCAACATCAGGTGACCTTAATAAATGCATTAATTTACCTCAATAAATGTTTCTTTAATCAGGAAACACCTTAAAATTTGTCTTGGAAGTGTTTAATGAGCAGCTAACAAGCAGCTTAGCAGAGCAGCTGTTGAACGTGTTTCACTGGCGGATTTAACGCCGCGTCCCAAACCACACACTTCTGTAGTTCACCTACTACACTAATGAGTGCACTTCTAATGGGATATGAACCATTTTTACACACTATTTACTGAGCTAGTGTGTAGTTTGGGATGCAGCAGAAGTAATGCAGCAGGAATTCTCGGGAATTTAACATGCTTTTCCACTTCATGGTACTGGCTCGAGTCGATTCGACTCTACTCGCAAACCTGGTACCAGGTACTGTCTCTGGTACCACCTCTGTCGAGGTTCCAAGTGAGCTGAGCCCATATCAAAAGGTGACGTAGAAACGCTGCAGACTGCTGATTTGTCGTAGAGAATCACGAAACACATATGCTAACATTAGCTAACAGGTTAGTTTAGCCTCCTCCTGCGTCTCCTTTGAGTGACGAAGCACCTCTGAAGGCACATTTAAACGAGCGGCTTTCTCATGTTATTTCGTTGTAAGACAGAAAACAGGAGACACAGAAAAAAAAACAGGTGAAACGAGAGGCAGAAAAGGCAGAAAAGCTCCAGCTCACTTTTCAGTTTCTTCTCAAGATACTCCAGGATCATCCTGATCACCTGAATGATGGAGAGGATCAGAGAACCGAAGGCCAAGGAGCCTGTATGATACCTGAGAGAGAGAGAGAACATCATTAATCACACTCTAATCACATAATTTTGTGCTCCTGTTTATAGCTGTGGCAATGTATTAATAGTCTATGTACGGTGCCAGAAACCACACGAGCATGTTTATTCTTGCTTGCCAGCTTCTTAGTATAATTTTCCATTCCACCTTAAATGATTGTAGCTCGTAACTGCTGCGCCATTTAAGGTGGGCCGAAAAATTTGGATAAGAAGCCAACTTAACACGTTACAAGCGAGTGTGTGATGATCAGGCATGCAGTTAGCATCAGCAAAAAATTTAAGTATCAAAATGTCCAAAATATGCTGCAAGCACAAATAATGACAGTTCAAGCTTAATCTTCAAGCTTAACTTTCAAAGAAGTGTTTACTTATTTTCTCTCATTCTGATATAAATGTATTACTTATTTTGCCAGTTTTTGCTCTACTTTTTTTCTGTTTGCTGATTTTGCCGATATGTTTTTTGCTTCTGGCATTGCTCTTTTGCTTCTGACTTTTGGCACTTTTTAACAGGGGACGGGTCTTAGAAGAGGGCGTTTACCTGCACTCTATTGGTCAACTGATTTGGTTTGACAGGTCTTCTGAACACACTCATCTCAAACATGTTAGTGTAGTTGGCTTTCTGCTCGCCAGCTCTGCTAGGTTCAGAATTAAGACTAAATTTGAATTGTTAGTAAACTATTGGACCAAGTTTTGTGATGCTATGAAACGGAGTTGGGCAGTAGGAATAGTGAATGCACCTGAGGGCCCGTCCATGTGAGGAGAAAATGGGGAATGTCGGGATGTCAGCCGGTTTGTTGAAGGCCCAGTAGTAGTAGGCAAAGGCCCCGGCCAGGGTCACCTGACCCAGCGCCGTCACAAAGTTCACACACCAGAAGAACATGAACAGGTTATAGAACTGGAACACGATCAGGTACTTATGGAGGAACGTCTCTCCGCCATAGAATGCAAACAGACATTCTGCATCTGGGCATTGCGTGAAGACTTTAGAGCTGTTGAACTTCTGTGGAAAAAAAAATAGTTTAGCCCCACCCATTCAGACTACAGCAGTTTAGCCCTGCCCACTCAGCCTACAGCAGTTTAGCTCCACCCATTCAGCCTACAGCTGCAGCAAAAACAGTCTGTTAATTTGTAAGAGATTTGGAAAATGATCATGTAGAAATTAATTATGGTATATAAATTCACACAAACTTTACAATAGAAAAAAGTACAATACAAGAAGAATGTAGTGTACATGTGTACTGTAGAAATTATTATAATCATTTTATTATTATCAATTCTTAATATTATTAAAAGTTGTTTCTGGAGACTGACCTGAGGGTCGCAGGTCTGTCCAGAGTATTCACACTCTGTGGTGTTGAAAACTTTATAGATCGGTTGATTGGAGGTGGACAGGAAGCTGCAGGAGGCAGTTAAGGATCAGCTGGAAGTTCCTCTATAGGAGCACTTTATATTTACATTTGATTACTTTGAATCATTTGATTACTTTGTAATATAAACTTAAATTTTGTATCCAGCTTTTATAAGTACTATGTCTGTCTTTCTATCTGTGTTTCTGTCTGTCTATCCATCTATCTGTCTGTCTGTCCATCTATCCATTTGTCTCTGTCTGTCTATCCATCGGTCTATGTATCTGTCTGTCTGACAATCAGTCTGTCTGTCTGTTAGTTGGTGAAAGTCACTGAGAGTGATGGTGCTGTGTCTGTGAGGTGAGTCAGTTGTGCTGTGAGAGTGAATGTAGCTCTGAGGTGGATACGCAGAGGTGACGGCCCAGTACGTGATCACCAGAGACACGAGCGCAAAGGTCAGCAGAGGGTAGAACAGCGGTGACATCATATGAGTCAGCACCCTGAAAAATAGATGGGATGAAAACTACAATAACACAAGTTTAACGTTTCAAAAGGTTTCAAAACTATAATGATAATAACTACAATTAATTCATAATTATATTAATGCTTAATTATTGAATTTTGCAGAAAAATGTCATATGTAAATGTGCTCTCTGTAGAGGATGTTCAGGATGAACTTATTTTCACTTAGAAAATAAACAAAACATGGCATCTCACATTTTTGCCAGCAGATTTTTGAAAGCCAGTCAATGAATGCAAATTTGCGTCCTTGACCAGTAGCTCTGCTGATTTGACCCTTAAAGGGGTGGGGCTTCATATAGCAGCACTGAACCTCCAATACAGAGGAATTGCTAATTTTAGCAGCATTTAATTAAAAACCTTTAGACAGTTCATCACCACTCACTATAAACAGTCAAATAAAGAGAGACTGTATGATACACAGTCTGCCTCTAGACTGTATTATTATGGTTGATTTTGTGCTTTAATCTTACAATAGTAGCCTAACTAATGTTAGCTCATTGGCTAACCGTGGCTGTACACAGTCCACTGTAGCCAACCACGTCAGATGGGGGAAGAACATGGCTGAAACCCCTCCTTCTTCCAGTATAACACCCTATAAATTCACATCCTCCCCTTTTGGCTTTAGGCCACATCATAGTACAGAGACAGCACTAGTAAAAATTGTAAATGATCTATTATTATTCTCTGACCAAGAAAATGTGTCCTTGTTAGTCCTCCTTGATCTTAGTGCGGCATTTGACACTTTAGGGCTATCTTACTAGATGGACTAGAAAACCTTGTAGGGGTAACAGGAATAGCTCTTTCCTGGTTCAGGTCCTACCTCACTGATCGCTATCAGTTTGTTAATATAAACAGGGAATCATCTGCCCTCAAAAAAGTAAAGTATGGTGTTCCACAAGGCTCTGTTTTAGGACCTGTATTATTCACATTATATATGCTACCACTGGGCACCATTATCAGTAAACACGGCATAAATTTTCACTGCTATGCCGATGACACTCAGTTATATTTAGCAAGCGAACCGGATGATAAAATTAAACTTAGCAAGATTGAGGACTGTATAAAAGACATAAAAGACTGGATGTCGAGTAACTTTCTCCTACTAAACTCGGATAAAACAGAGGTTCTACTTCTTGGTCCAAAAGCGGCTAGAAACAGACTGTCTAATTTAACACTTAAACTTAACAATTTCTCAGTTGCATCAAGCTCATCTGTAAAAAACCTTGGTGTCATTATAGACCCTAATCTGTCCTTCGATACACATATAACGAATATTACTAGAATAGCCTTCCTGCATCTCTGCAATACTGCTAAATTAAGAAATGCATTATCTCTACAGGATGCAGAAAAGTTAGTTCATGCATTTATTACCTCAAGGCTAGATTACTGTAATGCCCTGCTGTCTGGATGTCAAAGCAAAAGCCTTAACAAGCTTCAGTTAGTCCAGAACGCCGCAGCCAGGGTTCTTACTAGAACCAGAAAGTTTGACCATATCAGCCCAGTTTTATCAACCTTATACTGGTTACCAGTTAAATTTCGCATTGATTATAAAATTCTCTTACTGACTTATGGACTTGCCGCTGTAGCGTGCTTTGCTGTTTTTAATTCATAAACTGATCAGAACTTTTTGAGCAAAGTGAGATCTGCATCTGCATGCAGCAGGATGTTTAGAAGGACAAACAGTAAATTTATGGCTGACTGCTAAAGACACGTCTCACAACCCCCCCCCTCCCCGCCTTTGGCACCCTGGTGCAGACGTGGGGAGGGGGGTGGCTTTGTTAGGATACTAATAAATTGTGACTTTTGAAAATTCCTCTCCCTCTCTCTCACACCCATACATCTCACCTTCCCCCACAAAGAGAGACATCTTACCTAAAACAAAGGCCAAAGATGTCCCACCAATCAACCCTGGGTGAGGGGACTGTTGAGACCTCACGAATCCCTGAGCAGACCCCTCCGTGTGGCCAGATACTCTTAAGTGCATTCCTTCAGTATCATAAATTTGGGGTCTGTGCAGAGGCTAGGCTCCTGAGAGCCCTGCTTTCTGGCAAATTATTCACAATGTGATCTTTAATCAAGTATCAATCAAATGCCTTTCCTTTATCAAACTGTGAAGAACACCTCTGTTACTGTTAACATGTTGCATTGTCAGACGTGAATTGATTAATCCCCACCAAAGGGAATTAAAACCAAACTTTCTACACTATATTCTTTTATATTCTAGTAGTTATTTTGATTCTTGAATTGTAACCCTTTTTCACTGATCTAGGTTATTGTATTGATCTTTGATTATTCACAACTATGTTCGTTTCACACATTATATAATTTTTCTTTTTCCTTTGTTTGAGAAACAAGTCTTCTTGTAGTGTTATTGGAAGCAGGATTCTAAAGTTTGTAGCTTATGTGACTATGTATACTTTGATCATAGAGTTTCTGCCAACATATCTACAGAATTATTGATGATTATGTACTCACTTATTTTACTCTGAGTTATTATGTAACCGTTTGTGTAAGCATTGTTTAGAAATAGTACTGTGACGTATAACCTCGAAATTGTCTTAACAATTTAATTCTTTTGTCTAAGTAGTTCCTACTTCTTATATGACTAGAATGGTTAAGGATTCAACTAATTGTATGTAACCATATTATGGTCTACGTTAAGGGATAGTAATCTGTAAGCTCCATAGTCATTTCTAATAGTCACTATGGAAACAGTAATGTTATATATGTGAAACTACATGCTTCTAATTTGCTTTTACTTAAGTGTAACCACACCCAGAATATCCAAAGGATTATGTGACACTTGAGCAGTATTCAAAGAAATTGCATATTCATTATATGTAACCTAACAGACCAACCAAAACCTTTTCCCCGCCTTAGCTCTGCCTTAGCTCCACCCTCAAAGTTCTTTCTTTAAAGCCAGCAAGAAAGAGAAACAGTTAGGAGAACGAGAAGATGAAACAGAAAGACAGGGAAAGTTGGCCCTGAAGGGAGCGAGACAGCCAACATGTAACCTTAATGAAACTCTAAGTAGAAAAGCCCGTTCTCCTCGTTTTGCACCTTAGCTAAGTTCTGCAGATCTTAAATGTTAGTTGTTTGTCTTGTGTCTTAATTCGTTTTGTTTCATTTACTCAGTAATCTTAAAGTGTTGTAACTGTAAGGTTAGACTATTGAAGAGCTGCATCTAGCTGCGTTTGTTTTTCAAGTTTCGTCAATCTATTTTGAAAAGTCTAATTGCCAACGATAGGCCGCTCAGAACCTAGTTTTAGAACAGAAACAGAAGCAAAACAGTGCTGACTGAAATCCACATCAAGGGCCTGCTCCGACCACCGCCTGCCTGCATCGCCAAGAAGAAGATCTGCGTTCCTCACCAGAGAGGCCGCCAAGCGTCGCCGGAAGCCTGCCTTGCCAGTGGGGTCCGGTCCAAAGCGTTGACCAAGGGCTTGCACCTCTAGCGGCCTTGCCTTTGACCTGCAGACCCTTCCTAGCCTGTGTGAGCAGTGGCTTCTCTTCCTCAACGTGACACGCGCATCACCGCAGCTCTGAGGCATCCAGGTTGTAGATTCACTCGCACTGCCCTTTTGTGGTCTCAGTCTCACTGTGATTTTGCTTTTCTTTATTGACACTTAGGCCAGCTTTACACTAGTGTTAGGGTTGTTCTGCTTGCTGCTCAAAAGCCACATAATTTGGAAAATCAGCTAATCTTAGTACTTTTGTTCAGTATATTCAATCTCTGGTTTCTTTCTATAACTAGTAATCCAATATTTAGTGCCTATGTACCTTTGTAATCGATTGCTTTGTGTTTATATACCTCTATCAATAAATAACCCTTTATTACAGTCATCTCTGTCACGGTGTGCATATGAAAAAATTCAATTCGGTTCTGTTCCCTGGACCATGGTCAAGCCCTCACTTGAATTTAATTAAAATACCCGTGTCTTACGGTAAGTGGGAAATTAGGTGCTTTTGAGGCCTTGTCCCGCTACACCCCTCAGTACCTGAGTGAACTTCTCTCCCACTATGAACCATCACGCCTACTTAGATCACAAGGTGCTGGCTTACTATTAGTACCTAGAATTAATAAAGTTACGTTAGGGGGGAGAGCCTTCTCATACAAAGCCCCCCAGCTTTGGAATAATCTTCCTGTTAATGTTGGGGACTCAGACACAGCCTCAGTGTTTAAATCTAAGCTGAAAACTTACTTGTATAGTCAAGCCTTTGGTAATTAGTTTTCCCTGTCAGTTCTATACCTGCCAGAGTCTCTGCTGCTCTGCTAACACTGTAATTTGTGATCAGTCACCCATTACAGAACTGACTCTCTGTGTGTTTTTCCTTTCTTTTCTTTGCCGAGTTGAACAGCTGCACATCCTGTGCGTCTGATGCTGCTGCCTCTTCTGCCTTGATCGGGTGCCACTGCTCGCCAGCCCTCTGGACCGGCTTACCACCACTGAGCCTCCTGCTGTACAACGCCGTGCAAACCCCATCCGCACAACCTGACCCCACTGATGCTGCTGCTGTTGCCGCATGAACTAAACTAATCAAAATTACTTTAAATTATTTGAACTAATCAATCATTTAAACTAATCAAATTAATCAGCGACCCATTACAGAACTGACTCTCTGTGTGTTTTTCCTTTCTTTCTTTTCTTTGCCGAGTTAAACAGCTGCCCATCCTGTGCGTCTGATGCTGCTGCCTCTTCTGCCTTGATCGGGTGCCACTGCTTGCTGTGCAAACCTCATCCTCACAACCTGACCCCACTGATGCTGCTGCTGCTGCATGAACTTATTAATTAATAAAATTAATCATTTGCTCCACCTGTTTTCCCTGTTTTTGTACTATAATACTAACAGTGTTTTACTATCCGGTGTCGACCGGAGGACGATGGGTTGCCCTTCTAATTCTTGGTTCCTCTCAAGGTTTCTTCCTGTTTCTCTTAGGGAGTTTTTCCTTGCTACTGTCGCCTCTGGCTTGCTCATGGGGGCTTGGACCCGGATTTCTTTCTGCAATGCTGTTTTCCTTGTAAAGCTGCTTTGTGACAACACCTGTTGTAAAAAGCGCTATATAAATAAACTTTAATTGCTTGCTTGCTTTGCTTTTGTTTCTGTGACGAAGCATTCGCAATCTTGCCCACCACCCCATCTCCTTCCTGTTCCTCAGTCCTACATCATTCCTGCTACAGCTATGAGGGAGGTCTGGCCTTTTAGCTACAGGCAGAAGCTGCTCAGATACTACCACCACCATGTTGAAGGCATGGTCTGAACTTACAAACTACACTTTATTACTGCAGATAAGTGTACAGAATTGTGCTGTTGTGTGTATATAATTTGACAAAGTTTTGTTAACTTTTGTGTAATCACTGTTTATAGCTAGTGACTTGGCTGCTTTATAACTGCACGTAATCTTCTGGTCCAGCCTTGGTCACGGCCGTTTCAAAAGGCAACGCAAACTGCAATGTCTAGGATTGTGACTGTGGCTCAAAACAGACGTAAGAAATGTTTCAGACCTTACTAGCGTGGGCAGGTAAGCAGAGCAGGTAAAATCTGTGTGTTTGATCTGTCACAGTTTTGGTCTATCTGGAGCAGCATGTGTGCGTGGGGAGCGACGGGGGGGTGGTTTGTGCTCACTTGCCTGCTGGCCTCTTTAATGAGAGCGATGGCGATGACGATTCTCTTTCTGAGGAAGATGAGGATGAGAAGGATCACCAGCTCCACGATACCCAGGATAATTGCTGAGAGAGAAACACACAGACTGAAAGATAAGCTAACCACCATATGTGATAATAATATTAATAATAGTAAAACTTATATTTATAATAATAATAGTAATAAACTCACTGAAGGCCAGCCAGGTCTGCTGGATCTGCAGGTAGATGAAGAAATCTGTCTGCAGCCCCAAATCCTTTATGGTAACATCTGATCCAGCTTGGCCTTTCAGAGCTACGTACTGCATATAACAGTGGAAGGTACCTGAGAGAGAGAGAGAGAGAGAGAGAGAGAGAGAGATGGGGAGGGGGGGTGATTATCATCATACCCCACTGAATGTTGCACTGAGTTCATTTTCAGTTTGATTTTACTGGTAGATACGTTTCATTTAAAGGAAATCATAAGAAGTTTTCTTACATCCTCACCGTAACCAATAACGAAGATGACCGAGATGATTATCGTCCAGATTATGACCCCAGCCAGAAAACGCAGAAGAACAATGAAGACCATGCTGAGCACCATGCCAATCACTAATCCACTGAGAGAGAGAGAGAGAGAGAGAGTCAGACAGACAGAGAGACAGACATATTATACAGTGTTATACTGTTATACAGTGTGTTATGCAGTGTTATGCAGTGTTATACAGTGTGTTAGTGTGATACACTGTCACACAATGCTTTGTTGTTTGGTGTTCAGTGGTATGCAGAGTTATGCAGTCTTATGGAGTGTTTTTTACAGCGTTATACAGTGTTTTGGAGTGTGTCGTGCTGATGTTGGTTGGTGTGTAATAGCTGAGAGTCTCACAGCAGGATCCAGTGCCAGCACTTTGTGTAATTCTTGTTGTTTATTTAGTGGCGATGGTGTTTAGACGTTGTGAAGAAAAACTCCGCCGATACTGAGTTGCCAGTAAAAAGTTTATTACATAGTAAAACAGTATCATATCAAGCACTATAGAGTACCTGAGAGAGGATCTGTGCCAATTCTAAATGTCCCCTCCCGAACAGACTGACCAACAGCATATATATATGGTTCTTGTTGTTGAAACAGGAGACAGAGCATATGGTTCTTTTTAACATGATCTCATCTATTTGGACCTAAGAGAAGAAGGGAGAAAGTGAGAGGCCCTCTCCCAATGGACCAAGGGGCCCCCCAATTCACATTCCTAGCCCCTGCACACACAGAGCACATAGGGCACTCCTAGATACTACCACCTCAACTTACTGAAAGAGTGTTTTTACCTTCTTCTATCAAAGGTTCCTTTTTAAAATATACTTCATCCTGAAAGATCCTCATGGCCAACTCCTGAGCTTCTACAATGATGTCGGACTTCCTGCAGAAACAAAAAAACTATTCAGCTTCTCACTGACAGTTTAACACTGACATTCATATACACACACACACACACACACTGACTGACTTGCTTGTGGCAGTTAAGTTGACGTTGACAGTAGTGTTGTCACCATTGACAACTGCGTCACTTTCTGTCTTATGCAGGGTTGGGAGACACCTGTGCATAACTACACACACACACACACACACACACACACACACACACACACACACACACACACACCCCATCAGACATATGAACAGGTCAGATCAAAGATGCTGATGCAGAGCTGAATAACTCATTCGGCTGGCTGCGAATGATCGCCACCGGACACATTTCATCTTTTGCAAGTTCAAGAGCCGTCTGTAAGCAAAAACAAACAACAATAACAACATCAGTGTCAACGAACAACAAACTCAACACAGCTCAACTCAACACAACTCAACAAAACTAAAAACTTAAACAACTCAACACATCTCAATAGATTTACCAGACTCAATCATCCCAACACAAATCAAACAACTAAACACAACTCAATCAAATCTACACAACTCAACTTAAACAGCTCAACACAATTAACTGAACACTACTTTACACAGCTCAGTCAACTCAACACAAGACAATCACATTAACTAAACACAGCTCAACACATCTCAATCCAACTCAATACAACTCAATCAACCCAACACAAATATCTCAAATAAACACAATTCAATCAACTCAACAAATCTCAATCAAATCAACACAACACAACTTAAACACAGCACAATTCAATACAGCTCATTTAACTCGATACAACTCTACAAAACTCAGTGAACTCTACTTAACTGAACTCAATCAACTCAACACAACTCAATCATCTAAACACAACACAATCAACTAGACATAACTCCACAAATCTCAATCAAGCACAACTCAACACAACACAACCCAATACCACTTAATTAACTAAATATAACTCAACTCTATCAAATCGATATAACAAAACTCAATCAACTCAACACAATCAAATCAACACAACTCAATCATCTAAACACAACACAATCAACTTAACATAATATAACTCAACAAATCTCAATCAAACCAACACAACACAACTCAATCAAATAACACAACTGAATATAACACATCTAACTAAACACAACTGAAGACAACTCACTCAACTAAACTCAACATAACTCAGTCAACTCAACACAACTCATTCAAATACACACAACTGAACAGAGCTCATTAAAGTCAACACAACTCAATCAAATCAACACAACTCAATACAACTTAATCAACTCAACACAACACAACTCAGTCAACTAAATAATACTCTACACAACTTAGTCAACTCAACAAAACCAAACACAATCAATCAACTAAACATAACACAGCTCGGTAAACACAACTCACTCAACTAAACACAACAACACAATCAACTCAATCAACTCAACATCTCAATTAAATCATCACAACTTAACATATCTAATCAAATAAACATAACTTAATACAGCTCAGTGACTTCCACTCAACACAATCATCTCAATACAGCTCAATCTACAAATGAAGTAAATACAACTCAATTATCTCTACACAACTCATCACAACTCAATCAATTCAACTAAAAACAAATCAACCAACACAACTCAATCAAATCAGCACAACTCAACACAACTCAATCATCTACACACAACACAACTCAATCAACTTAACAGAACTCAATATAATCAACTCAACACAACACAACTCAATCAAATCAACAAACTCAGTCACCTCTACTCAATTTAATCAATTCAATAACTGAATAACTCAAGTAAACTGCACTCAATTCTGTAAGATGTGTAAGAGATATTCTCTCAGTAACATTGTGTGTGTGTGTGCATGTGTATGTGTGTATGTATGTATGTATGTGTGTGTGTGAGTGTTTAACTCACCAGTTTAGTGTTCACTTCCTCCTTACAGAACTGTGAGTAGTACTGCATGTCCTCTTCTCTCAGTTTAGCATTCAACAGCGTCAGCGACCGCTCTGGACATTTCTCCACACAAATCTACACACACACACACACACACACACACACACACACACACACACAATATCTTACATCAATAACAACAAAAATGCTGCTGCACATGGTAGTTAGGCTGACCACAACACAGTGTAATCACAGAGCAGGTAGGGTGGGGTAATATTGTAAGAGAGTGGGGTAATGAGAGTTTTATGTTGGGGTAAATGGGTATTACCTGTGTGGTGGGGTAAAAGAGTTTTTTTGGGGGGAGTGCGGTAGTACCTGTGTGGTGGGACACTGAAACTCCAGCAACACCTGCATACTGACACACTTCAGACTGTTAACATAAAACAGCAAGGGCTTCTTCCTGCATACACACACACACACACACACACACACAGAGTGAGGATTGACTCTCGCCGGAGAACTAGTGTTTTCACTGAATTAAACTATGTGTGTGTGTGTGTGTGTGAGAGAGAGAGAGAGAGAGATTGAGTGAGTGAGTCAGTGTGAGTGTGTTTTAGTGCACTCACTCCAGTGGGGTTCCCTTTTGACCACAGAACTGCCCCCTACTGTCTGTGGGGTAAATCACCTTCCGCAGGTCCCCCTGAGACCAGGCTGGGGGGTGGGAGGGAGTGGGGGAGGACATGCTGTTGGCATTAATAATGAATGTAATTATGTACTGATTGGTATATGATTACTGATTGCTCATTGCAAAGCAACATGCAACACTATTGCTATCAGATGGAATATTCTTCTTCCTTCTATGATCTTTCTGCTGATTTTCTGTCCACTAACTCATTCTGCAGTTTTTGAGGTATCGACAACTCCAGAATTTTTAGTCAATGGTGAGCTTTTATACAGATTTTTGATTTCATACAATCATTGTTAAATTACGATTTGTTTTCCCACGAAGAATGAATTGGGTGCAAAAGTTTGTGCACCCAACTTATATCATGATGACACAAATTCATTTATAACACCATATTACCCATGTGGGTACAATTGCAACCACCTAGAAAAATCCTAGCCACCACCTGGGATACCATAGCAACCACTTAGCAACACCCTTGCAACCACTTGGAATTCCATAGCAACCACCTAAATTGCCGTAATAACCATTTGGAAACACCCTAGCAACCGTTTGGGAGCTGCTTAAGCTGCAGAGTCACTCTGCATTTTATTGCAATTATATTGTTTATTCACTTTCAAAATTCACTTCTTTACCCACTCAGAGTAGTTCAGAGCTCTAATACACTAAAGAGATAGATAGATAGATAGATAGATAGATAGATAGAGATAGATAGATAGATAGACAAGGTTTATTTATTTTACAGATAAAAAACTCACCCAGATATCCGACTGCCAAATAACTCAGCATGGCCAGAGTGAAAAGCAGACAGCAAAGAACATCAGTATAGCTCATACACACACACACACACACACACAACGAGTTACTCACACCGTACTGAGTTATTCACACTGCACTGAGTTATACACACAGTGCTGAGTTATACACACTGCACCAAGTTATACACACTATGCTGAGTTATACACACTGCACCGAGTTATACACACAGTGCTGAGTTATGCACACTGCGCTGAGTTATAAAAGTAGTATATAGCCTACACTGTTTTTCAAATTATGATTTATGACCCTGATTTATGGCTCTGATTTATGACCCATATGATTTGTGGTTCTGTGATGGACAGATTGGACAGACATTTTAACAAGGTGCCCTCTCCCCACATTACCCATCCACCCCTCCCCATCACCTCCCTCATCACCCCCACCCTTCACCACACCTCACCCCAAAGATTTACGACCCCCTGTGCGACAGCCCGATTTATGACACCCCTCTCTGTGACAGGTCAGTTTGAGGGACAGGTCTGCCTGGGGTTGGGTGTTTTACGACACCCCCCCTCACCCCACCCGCTCTACCACCAACATTTGTGTTGGGGGAGCAGGGTGTGGCTTACATATGTTGTATTTAAGCATTATTCTCACAGGCGGATTGCATGACTATTGCTGCAAAATGTCTTCTGCAAGTTTAAATCAGACCGTTCTTAGCGTTTCTACAGCAACGCCGACTGTTAGTTCTTGTGGTAGTGAAACCAATTTGGAGTTTGCGCCGAGGAAGAGCCGGTATCGCGATGCATTTCGTTGCCGGTCTCGCAAGCGTTTTGGGGATGTTAAGATTAACCTCTTTGATTCTCTGGCTTATGACGTTTGTGGGGATGGTCAAACAGAATCACCGCCCTCCGCAATGTCTGTTTAAAGGGTCCCCCCATCCATATCGAGGCATACAGCTTCAGTTTCTCAGCACTCAAGCCAACATGTTTGAGGATTTTCATCCATCAGGCCACCCCGACAACCACGGGGCTCTGTGGTATAGAAATTATCAAGGGCCGGACGTTGATTACGCACCGCTCGACACTGCCACCGGTCCTGTAAACTACAGCCATGACGAACCAGCAGCGGCCATCGTGACATCAGACCACAGCATCTCGGGCCATTTCAGCAACGATACCAACACAGATGGCTATACAACGTGCGGCGGCAATCAGCCAACACTATCCAACACATCAAACAACAACAACTGGTTAGACCATTTGTGTGAAGATTTTGCACATGCAAATATGACTTTCCTGCATACACCGTTTTTTTCACCAGAGCCAGCATGCATGGAAGATGATGAAACGCTCATCGAAGCTCCTGAATGCATGCCTATACCCACATCAACCCAAGATGTGGATGGCCGAGTATGTGCTACAGGATTAAAACTTATAAAGTCTGCTGTCGTTGTGATCTTACAACATATCATAAACAACAAACTGAAGGAAACGTGTCTTGGTTGTGAAGTGGACCACCCCAGTCAACTTCGACATTCGTGTCTGTTTGAGCCGGATATCTTCTTCTTTGAAAAGTACTATGACGATATAACACAGACATTGTTCACGCCTGAATTGAAACATGCTATCGCGGGGCTTCTAAAGTGTTTTGGAATACATCTGCCTCTTCAAAAAATTCAAGGATGCGCTGAAACAGTTGTCTGTGAATTGCGGAGCGAGCCACACATTGTGGAAAAGTTGCATGAAATAAGAGAAAATCTGGTTAATCACATATCTGGGGAGTTTGTCGCTGACGCTGTTGATTGTTGGAAAGCTGGTTCAAACACCTGCAGTGCTGTTTAAGACAAATGGGGAATGTTTGTGGATTCCAGGGTCTGGCGGGCCATGTGTTGAAACACCGTGTAAACTGCGAAATGACCAATTTGTTGTATAAATGTATTGAGGATTGTGTGGTCAATTTTAGACTCTTTAATAGTGTGTATGAAGTTGAAGCTAAACGTTTACAAAATTTCAAGAATCAAATGAGTATTGTCAAATCATTGTCAGATGATTGGTGCAACGTTACACAGTTATGTCTAGATTCTGACAACCCGCCTCATGTAACTGTCAGGAGGTTATTGTCTTTGATGCCAGAGAGCAACAATACAATGAAAATCAGTCATGTGCTTTGTCTGTGTACATATGTATTAGATGTTTGTGTCTTAAGTCTTTCAGCAAATAAACCAATTAATGTTTGTAAAGTGGTTGAAATACTTGTTGAATACTTGGTTGAGAAAAATGTTGATGTATGTGTGGAATTTCTTGAATTCATTGATGCCTTGTGAGTTGTGAATAAAACAGTAAATCAAACAAAATTTTGGGTCATTATTTTCAGTGATGGCGTCTGTGAACATGTCAGATCTTATGAGAGCAGCTTATTATACACCTTCAAATTCTGGTTCATTAGGTGGTAAAAACCGTTTGAAACAGGCTGTTTTAGAGGATAAAGGTGTGCGTCTGTCTGATCAACAGGTTTCAGATTGGTTAGCGGGTGAAGATGCATACATCCTTCACAAACCTATACGGCATAATTACAGAAGGAACAGGGTGGTGGTATACAGTATTGACTCACAATTCCAAGCCGATCTTGTTGATATGAACGCATATTCTAAGGAAATATTTAGGTTATAAATATATATTGACGTGTATTGATGTATTTAGCAAATATGCCTGGGTCCGGTTGTAAAAAAATAAGTCGGGTTTGGAAGTCGCTAACGCGTTTGCGTCCATACTAGCCGAGGGTAGAGTGCCTCAAAAATTACAGTCTGACCGGGGTAAAGAGTTTTTTTAACAATCATTTTCAAAACCTGATGTCAAAAAACAAAATTACGCATTTTGCTACAGGTAGTGAACTAAAGGCTAGTGTCGTAGAGCGTTTTAATAGAACTCTAAAAAGTCGTATGTGGCGATATCTAACGGCTATAAATTCCAAAAGGTACATTGATGTTTTACAAGACATAGTGTGCGGTTACAACAACAGTCACCACAGAAGTATAAAAATGAAACCAGCTGATGTGTCCAAAGACAATGAAACTATTGTGTTTAAAACGTTGTATAGTGTGAGAGACGGGCTAAGCAAGAAACTGTGTTTAAGTACAAGGTGGGTGATGTTGTGAGAATTTCCAAAGTCAGGGGTCCGTTTGCAAAGGGTTACGAGGAGAACTATACACATGAATTTTTCACAATTTTAGAGTGTGTCCCTCGTCAACCACCTGTTATAGATTGAAAGATTATGATGGTGATGTTATACAAGGTTGTTTCTATGAAGAAGAGTTGCAAAAAATAAATGTGCCTCGAGATAAAACATTCAAAGTTGAAAAGATTTTAGAGAAGAAAAAACAGGGTAAAAAAAATATGGTTTTGGTGAAATGGCTGGGATGGCCTCCCAAATTCAACAGTTGGATTCCTGAAAAGGATGTGGTAGATATACAAAAGCCTTAAAAGTGGCATTTGTGAATGCAATCATTACAACAAATGACAAACATGGGTGACAATGGTTTTTTCATTACCTTGCCATGCAACTCATCGATGTCGGTATACCCCGACAATCAAATTTCTAATTACAGAACAAAACTGGCAAAACCAATTGATTTAAAAGGTGGGAAGTGGGTGTTTTAGAGTTTCAGTACCCACGGACGTGGAAAACATTTGATGAAGATGACGCAACATTTATGGTGATCGATAAAATTGCTTCAAAAATAACAAAAATAAAATTACCTATCGGATATTATAAAGACATATCCATGTTGATTGATGAGATCAATTTTAAAATATCATCACATTCAGTATTTATTGGTTACGATCAAATAAGACACAAGGTTTATATCAAGACAAGACCTGGCGTAGGTTTAGTATTTGATGGAAAACTAGCTATTATCTTAGGTCTAAAACGGGGGAGATGCTAGAATCTGCGTCTAAAATGGTTCGAGATCAAGAAGGTTTTCAGAAACAGTACGCGCCGCACCCAGCCGACATCTATGGGGGTTTCTGCACACTGTATGTTTACACAGACATCATCGAATACCAAACAGTTGGAGACGCCTTTGTGCCTCTGTTAAGATGTGTACATATATCAGGGGACATTCACGATGTTGTCACTGTTAGATACAACAAGCCACACTACGTGTCGGCAACTAAGACCCACATTAGTGACATTGCAAAAGAGGTGAAAACTGATCAAAACCAACACGTCAATTTTTCATACGGGAAAGTGGTTGCAAAACTACATTTTAGACCTGTAAAACAACCAACAGGGTTTTAAAATGGATGCATTCAATGCACACGTTATGGACCCTGAACGCTATGTTTCTTACTACCAAAATCAAGCGGGCGGTATCATGCCTGGTTATGCAGGTAGTCCAGCTATGTACGGAGCTGGCTTTGGTGGTATTTTTAGAAATTTATTCAGAATGGCTATACCGTTGTTCAAGAGGGGGTTTAGTATAGCCAAACCGCATCTAAAAACCGCGGCTAAAAACATTGTAAGCGATATAGTCAGCAACGGTTTGACACATGCAATGCGAAACAACAGGACGGATCAGGCATGCTAGTAATGGCACGAAAATCTGTGAAATGACCCCCTGGAAAGAGGCGTGGTCGCCCTGCTAAGAAAACCAAGCGTGAGTTGAAAAAACGCATAGATTCAAAAAGGAAGAGAAAGGGGAAACAGACCAAACGAACACCCCGAAGAAAGGCTGTCAGTACTATTTCCTGAACATGGCTCTACTTCATCGCATGTCTGAAGAATGTATCAAGTCGGAACTAGACTTGTTCACAGTGCCTTTAACACAAACATCTATCGAGAAAAACACTTATGTAGAAATTCCACCGCTTTCAGCAATATCGGACACAGCCCCTTTGGAATTTTTTATAGCAGGCCATGGTGAAGATTATACGGATCTGAATAACATCCTCTTGTACCTTCGTGTTAAAATCACAAAACCTGACGGAAGTGACATCGATGACGGAGCTGCTGTGGGGTTGATAAACTATCCAGGAGCCACAATATTTTCACAGGTCGATGTGTCGC